AGGAAGGAAGGAAGGAAGGAAGGAAGGAAGGAAGGAAGGAAGGAAGGAAGGATGGATGGATGGATGGATGGATGGATGGATGGATGGATGGATGGATGGATGGATGGATGGAAGCAGACCCAGTCACCAGAAAATATTACAAACCAGACTGTTCCAATCCTGGAGCATTTCTCACACTATTTATCAACGTACTTGCACCCAAAGTCTGGTGCTCATTGACGTCTTTTCCAAAATTCCTGCAGTCTTAAAAGCTGAGCCTTATACTACCTGCTGGCGTAACGGGTGCCCTCTCCGTCTTGCCTTTCCAGACTGCTGCATAGCCGTCTTCATGCTTATTAAACGCCACTACCTTCACCTCATATAGCCTTCCAGGAACTGGATGGAGTAGAAATTGAAATAAATGAGAACATCAAACTAGGTTACAATAAATGTATCTCAGCAGGAAACAAAAAGCTTGACACGGATCTATATCTCAATACAGGAGATTCTGGGCTCCTTTCACAATAATAATAAAATATGTATACAAAACTATTATAGGACAGTCCAAATTTTTCTTTAGCCCATTGTCTTGTTTCCAACAGTGGAGTAGGAGGACTCCAATACTGGCTCCCAGCCAGGCACAAAAGCAAGAGAACCCCCCCTTTTTAATCTGTCCCCAATTTCTAGTATTTTGAGGTGTACTGCTCACATGCATGCAGGTTCCATTTAGTATTACAGTTGTGCCTCAGTTTACGATTGCCCCGTATGACGAATCCGCTTAACGATGCCTTTTTTGTGATCGCAAAAGCGATCGCAAAACGATGCTTCCTATGGGCACAATCCGCTGTGTGATGATCGGTTCCCTAGTTCGGGAGCCGATTTTTCGCATTACGACGATCAGCGAATAGCTGATCGTCGGGTTCCAAAATGGCCGCTGGCTGAAGAAAATGCCCCCCCACTGTTTTCTAGGAAGGATTCCTCGCTAGGCAGGCACCGAAAATGGCCGCTGTATGGAGGATCTTCGCTGGATGGTGAGTTTTTAGCCCATTGGAACGCATTAACTGGGTTTTAATGCATTTCAATGGGTTTTTTATTTTTGCTTTACGATGTTTTCGCTCTACAGCGATTTCGCTGGAACAAATTAACATCGTTAAGCGAGGCACCACTGTATGTCTAATGACTACAGATACAAGATGGAGAAACCAAAGTGCTTCCCATTATCCCTGATGGCTGCTCATGCTGGTTTGGGCTAAGAGGAGTTGGATTCCAAACATCTGGGAGACCCTCAGTTCCACAGCTAGATCAACTTTAACCCAACTCTGAACCTGCTACCTTCCAGATGTGCCGGTCTCTGTATCAAACTAAAGAGCATGCTGGCTGAGGACGATGAGAGGTCTAATCCAACTCCTCGGGAGGAAAAACTGTTTTAATTCTTTATTAAGGCAACCTCTGCTCATGGGCCCAGTCATATTTTGGTGGTGTAAGATCATAATTGTAAAATGGGCTTTAAAAAAAAAAACCCAACAACCTTAAAAGGCCTTAATCAGCAAATATACTGTAAAAGCAAAACAATTGGCAGTAAAAAGGAGGGCACAGAAAACCCATCAATGCAGCCAGCTAAAATCAAGTGCTGGGCAAGTTTTTACTGGCTCTCCTTAAAATGTTATGCCCAGCCAAGCCCCATTGGTAGTCGAGTACTAAGGGGCAATTATACGGTAGCCTGGATTCCATGCTCCCACCGACCTCCCCTCTTAAACAGAGAGAGCCCAGGACTGCGCTTTTAAGCACTGTGATTATCGGTTGCCAGTATATAAATAGGTCAAGTTTTTCTTTTTTAAGGGACCCAATTAAATAATTCCATGAACCTGTTTGTATCGCTGCAGGCAGCCCAATGTAACCCACAATACAAGCCTGGAAAAAGACCCTTTGGACGCAAGCGGTTGAGCAGTTGCTGCCAGTTGAGCGGTGACCACCTTTTTTTTCGCCTGGGCCTCAGCGCAAGCCAGGCTCTCTCTTCACAGATGGCCTAAATGTTTGTTTCCAAGCTTGCTGCCTTTTTTGCGTCTCTTTTCTCCGGCCTTGTTGGGAGACATTCTTTTTAAGAGACCTGCTTATTCAGGGGAACCACTCGAGCGGCCCAAAGTTTACAAATAGAAGGGGAAAATAGGACGCCTTCCTCTTCGGGCACCCACGGCCTGGTTCCCAAATGGCTTCTCCTTGACAGCTCCATTGACGAAGCTCTGCTAATTAAGGATGTGGCTATTCATTGCTGCCCATGAGGGATTGCCAGCTCCTTCTGCCACCACAATGTAGCTTCTACAAAACACCTTTTAGCTAGGCCAACACTATCCATCATGCATGGACAGGGGCAAGTAAATGGTCCTGCTCTCCTTCTCCTCCAACCCCACCCCACCCATTTCAAGGACAAAGGCGTGGAGCTCTGCACCCCCTACAACCCACACTGATATTTGGAGAAAAAATAACATTTCAGCTCCTTTTTAAACCCCCTCCCCTGGCCTTAAAGGACTCAACTGCAACCGCAGTTTTGCCTGCTCTGAAAACATGGTGGCAACAACAGTTTGGGAATGATCCAGACCACAGTGTGTCGGGACAGGGGAAGACCTAGCATTGACTTGGAGACTAAAAGAGGGACTGAGAATTTTCACTATGGAGATGGGAGTACGGTTAGGGGTACTCCCAAACGCAACACAAGTAGGCCCAGGCCAGGGATCAAGGAAGAAGCGCTAGTTGCCAGGCAACATGTAGACTGCTGGTAAAGCAGCTGTTCCAGTGGCTGGCAGGCAGTATTCTCCTCTCCCCACAATTCCCATAATGGTACCTCTTCTGACTCTTCTATTTCCCAAGCGTGCACCTCTTAGAACCTTCAAAACCTTTCCCCTCCCTCTTCTGTTCTTGCCTAGACCATACCTAAACCCCCAAACATGTAGATAACTAGTTTTCTATACTACTTCTTTTTATTGCACGGGTGCCCCCCCCAGATATGATTGGCCTGCAATTTTTGCCAGACCTAGCCAGCCAATTCATGGGAGAATCAGGACCCATCAAACTTACCCAAGTTTGTCAGTTCGTATTGCTTGACTTTCTTCTTCAGCTTTATTGGCCCAAATTCCCACTGGCCATCCCCGGTCCCTTCAGAGGGGTTCTCCTCACTCGAATCCTCTGCAGCCACTTCTCGGTAATAGAGTTTGTAGCCTGAAACCTGGGCGTGATTGGCTGGAGGTTGCCAACTTACTAAAAGCGACTCCATTTTTGCTCTGACTTTTAACTCAGCTGGGGCAAAGGGAACTGGGAAAAGTAAGAAGAAAAAGCATTAAAACACATTCTTTGCCTTCAGAATCATACTTCTCAGGTTTATTTTCAGTTCATTTGTGCGTTCCCCCTGCCTTCTCCTCTTAAAGCATTGCTCCTTGGCTCCAACTCAGTTCAAAATGCTAGTGTTTGTTTTCAAATACTTAAACCCATCTGCCTGTATACTTAGGTAATCTACGGATGCCCTTATCCAGGGCTGGCCCTGAGGCAGAGTAATAAACGGTGTCTCCATCCAGCCAAAGTCTACAGCATCTGAAGCCAGTCACTTGAAGCAGAAAAGAATAGATAGATAGATAGATAGATAGATAGATAGATAGATAGATAGATAGATAGATAGATAGATAGATAGATAGATAGATAGATAGATAGATAGATAGATAGATAGATAGATAGATAGATAGATAGATAGATAGATAGATAGATAGATAGATAGATAGATAGATAGATAGATAGATAGATAGATAGATAGATAGATAGATAGATAGATAGATAGATAGATAGATAGATAGATAGATAGATAGATAGATAGATAGATAGATAGATAGATAGATAGATAGATAGATAGACAGATAGAGAGAGAGAGAGAGAGATTGATTGATTGATTGATTTCCCCTGGCTGGCAGTAAAGTCACAATAATAAGCAATTAATAACTAATAATATGCTGTCCTTTCATGACATGCAAGACATATCTCCTCTGTTCAAAGCCCATATCCTGCTCTTCTCTGACTGCCTCCCCAGTCAAAGGTGAGGGATACGTCTACTATCACAGTTTTTCAGTTGTGGTGCCCAGTCAGATGCGCCCAGAGATGAAAACAGGTATTCTTTTTTTTCCACTATAATTCTTAAGAGTACCCTAGCTCAGTTGAGTATTTGGGGAGCCAAAGTCCAGGAGTATTCCCCCCCCCCAAAAATATCTGAAAACATCCTCCCAGGAAGGCCCACCTGACACCAACGTTGTTATTTTGTGATGATGTTAGCCAACTCTCAGTTTTTTTTGTTAAGTATAGTATCTTTGTCTCTCCCCCCCCTTTACTGTGTTTAATCTGATGTCTTACTGGCTGTAGGTCAACTTTGTGCTTGGTCTTCATATTGCTGTAAATCACTGTGGAAATTATTAATTTGGATTTTGAACTACACGGGGGGGTGTGTCTAGCACCCCTAATCCCAGTGTTGCAGAAAGGAAAAGTGTGCATTATATTGGCTGAAACAAAAAAGTACCTCAGTGACAAAAAAAAAAAAACATTTGTTTGTTCACACTTTTTGTCTTAAAAACAAAACAAAAAACACCGGAACATAACCAAGCGGCAGACACGTCCCAAACTCTTGAGGTGACAATGTTAATAAAAGCCTATTTTGTAGGTCTAGTTTTATGCGGAACAATATAGGACTCTGTAGAAGGAAAATGCCATCCAATATGCCGGATGAGATTCGACCAAAACATGCCCGCGTCCCAGTAAGCCTGGCAGTAGTTGAGGTTAAGCTCACAGCAAGGGGAGAATTGAAAAACCAGCAAGCCACCTACTGTGGGTCTGATTGTCTCTGTCTGGAGTGCGATGTTGCGTCCATTCTGAAGGTGCGCCATAGCCCACACTAGTGCTTGCTGCAATCCGAACTTTGTAGACCTTATTAGGGTGCAGGGCATAAAGGGTGAGCAGTGTCTCGTTCGCACCAACCTCGGTGGAGGAAATCAGATCTGTAAGAAAAACAAGAGTCCAGCCCTATAATGGTCTGGGGTCCAGGAGGGCACGATCTGCTGATGGGCACCACAGGTTCCCCCCCCACCAAAGCCAGCAGGACATGACCTTCTTTTCCTTACAGGTCAGCTGATCATATTTCTCAGCCGTTTTAAAATGCTTCTGAATTATTTGTGTTCCACTGCTTTGTTTTTATCCTTTCTGCACACCACTCTGAGATAAGCCAAAGCCAAAGGGAGAAGGCCTAAAACATTTAAAAAGAAAATCTTAAGAAGTTTCTCCAGTCTTACCAAAGCTTAGCTGGCTTCTCTCAAAATCCTCTTTGTGTAAATGACCAAGCAAGAATCTTCACATTTGCTTCAGTCTGGATAAATTCAGAAGTTAACACTGCACTGAAGGCTTCTGCCTTCTTACAATATTTAAACCAGCTATTTATGATGTTACTGCGATGTAAACATACATGTTTCAATACCTGCACTGTGGCGCTATCAAACCAAATATGAGAATCGTTTCCTATTGCTGCCTACAAAGGCCTTTGTTTTATAGCCACATACCAATTCAGCCACACCTTTAACCAACAGAACCACTTCTCCCCTACCTTCTTTAAGAAGTGCATAGTCAATTCTGTACTTGGTGATCTTCCCATTGCTTAGTTCTGGAGGAAGAGGCAGCCATGTCACCTTGATGTCAGTTGGCGTCATACTTGAAAGGGTGAGTTGAGGAGCTGCACTGGGAACTGGGAGGCAAAGACAGAATGGGTGATTCTATCTCACAACAAAGGAGATAAACGAAACAAGAAGCAGGATTTGTCACTCAGCAATGCTACATGAACCTTGTGGTGCCCCACTTGTTACCAGTTTGAGAAGGAGCAGTTGATAAGCACTCTCTGAGTAAGATTCTGTAACCAACTGCGCATCCACCTGACAGTTGTTCTATCCAACCCACACCTACTTAGCTTGCTAATCAGAATATCAGGCAGCAATTTGTCAAAAGATTTGCTGAAGCCAAGATATATTATGTCTACAGCATTCCCACTATCTACCTCAACAAAAAAATCAGATAAGACTGGTCTGGCAGGATTTGTTCTTGACAAATCCATGTTGGCTTCTAGTTATTACTGCATTGTTTTCAAGGTGCTTGCAGAGTGACTGCTTTATAATTTGCTCCATAATTTTTCCTGGGATTGATTTACATACATCTGGCTAGAACCACATTTTACAGGAAGGAATGTTCCACCAGATTATAGATTCTTTTAATGTGTACATCCTATTATTTTAAACATGAATTTCACATTCATTAGCTGTCTAACATTCCCCAAGTTCATTTTTTTAAAGCAGGTTATGTTCACTCTGTTTAATTTGAAGCTCAAATTAAGGGCACCCTTCTAATTTAGAATAAGGATCAGAGTTTGGAAATGTTGCCTCTGCTACCGTTAGTTTCTAGAGAATTGTGGAAGTAACCACTTGGGGGGATCAAGTTTCCATGCAATGATTCTCACTACTGTATGATCCACTACCCCGCCCGCAACCCAATTATGTCATTTTTGACAGCTCCGACAAGAGGAAGCATTTTGGAACCATCCCTTCCCGTTGCTATTCTACGAACCATCCTCCAGGGTCTGTATGTTTATGGAAGAGGATGTCCCGCTGGCTCCAAGCTGAGAGTACGCCACCACGTAGAAAATGTAGTTCGTGCTGGGCTCCAGGTCTTTGACCTGAAATTCGGTCGTGTCGTTATTCACCGCGAACTGGTACTCCACATGGTCGGTGCCTAGAGGGGGTACACAACGCTGTCAGACAAAAAAAGAGAAGAAAGTTTTGTCCTTTCTTCAAACTAACTTCTTGTGAGACGCGTGCAAAAAGTTTCACGCCATCTTTCATCCTAGATTACACTTAATCCCTCTAGACTACTCTCCTCTCCGCCATTTCTACCATTTTAAACATAAACCTCAGGAAAAACACAATTTTAGTCCTTATTTCTAATCATTAGCACAGAACAAAGAAGGGCCAGGGCATTTGGCTTTAATTTATCTGCTGCTCAGAAGTACAGCCTTGGCGACAGAGCAAATGGGAAACTAAACTGGGCAGACTGGTTCCATCATACACAAAGGGAAACCAAAAATTATATTTCTGTAGAGTTAATACAAAGCTTTCCTCTTCCCTTCCATGATACAAACTGACAAAATTCCACCTATGATTGATACACACACACACACACACACACATTAATCCAGAATATGAAAAAGTATTTTAGCCACAAATCTTATAAATTACTGTTGATAATATTTATTTAACCATTTCTTCTAATGGGCTCTAGGCAGAATCTATGCTGCTGCTCTTCCTTCCTGCTTTATCTTCACAAGAACCCTATGAAGTAGGTCGGGCGGAGATAACATTCCCAGCCCATGTTCGTCAAGCGAGCTGCATAGCTGAGAAGGAATATCAACAGAGATTCCTCAGACTCAGCTTAACACATCGAAGACTACACCACATTGACTCGGCTATAGTTTTGGGATGGGCAGGGGAAATAGCAGACTCTGGCTTCGATCCTGACAAACCCAGCTGAACTTCGCTCCCATTGAAAGCAGGGAGAATTTACTGATGATAAATGTATCCCACTGATGCAGTAGCAGCAATATTCAGCTAACTCAGAGCTCATCCATACCTCCTGTTTCCTCCTGCTGAAGAAGTGGTTCCATCGCCCACTGATCTGAATGAGTTTAACAGAGCTACAGATGTTACTGGAGACTCAAATCAATCCCTTCCACTTTGGGATTATTTTCATTCACTTAGGAACTCATTTGGTTTGGTTTTGTCCACCTATCTGGCAGCCCAGTTTGCTCCAGCCCTGCGTGTTTCTTAGCCTAGTTGCTAGAGAACATGCACAATTCGAACTCCCCTCTCACATCAGGTGTAATGGCACTTGAGGCAGTGCCTCCCTTCATGGGAGGAAAAGAGGCAAAGTGTGGAGAATGGGGAGAGCAGGAGAAGGAAACGGGGGGGGGGGACAGGCAGTGCCTCCCTTCATGGGAGGAAAGGGGCAAAGTGTAGAGAATGGGGGGAGCAGGAGAAGGAAACGGGGGTGGGTGGCAGGAGGAAGTGAGGGGATATCTTATAGTATGGAAATTCAAACTGGAAGAATCCAGGTTACATTCAAGGAAAACATTCAAGCAGGTATGGAAGCTTGGACTGAGAGATTCTGGATCTGTGAGGACATGGAACCATTCTTCCGACTTGCCTCAGTCCAAGCCACGCACCTCATGGGGGTGAGCTCTTAGTCTCAATCTAGCCCTCCGCCTATTCCCCCCCTGTTGCTTTAAGAATAATTCAAGTGTGAATATAAGGACGATGTGCAAAGGCAGCCCATACACAAGTTGGTTCCCTGGAGATTATGGGAGTATTATACATTCGGAGAACAACTGATTGAAGCTGCTTACACAAGAGATTAATTAATTTACACAAGAACCCTCTGAAATCCTCAAAAGGGCTTTTACCCAGTGAAAGAAATTTTTGTAAAATATGCATAGCCTGGGTTGCCTTACGTATTTATTATAAGGAACAGATATCATAAAGGGATCCAAACCGAAGCCTTTCTTGTGCAACGCTGTGTGCTCAGTTGCCTCTCAGAAATCCTGAGGGCAAAAGCACCCTCCTGCTCACGTTCCTCAGTAAGTGGCACTAAGAGGTAGGCTGCCTCCGATACTGCAGGAGATTAGTAGCTATCTATCATGCTATCACAACTACCAGATCTATACGGTGCAATTCAGCCTTAGTTATGCACACACACCGCCTTTTGAGCAATCATTAGCAAATGCAGTGTACCTTCAGAATACAGGGTACGTACCTAAAGCTTTCTGGTAATGCAGCGAGAACCCAATAATCTGCTCACTGTTGAACTCTGGACGTTCCCAGGATACCAAGACAGTTGTGCTGGAGAGAGAACTAGCCGACACCCTCTTAGGAGCGCTGGGCAGTCCTTCCCGCACGATCACTTCCAGTCTGGCCGCCGCACATGCCATGCCCAAAGGATTCTCTGCCACACATTGGTAATAGCCAGCATCGTCCAGCCCAATCTGGTTGATGACCAGGGTCCCACTGCTCTGCATCTTCACACGTCCTTTGGATAAAAGAGGCTTCCCGTTCTTCATCCAGTGGATGTTAGGAGACGGCTCCCCTTCTGCTTTGCACACAAATCTAGCTGTGCTGGCTCGGGTCCGAGAAATGGTTTCAGGAAGCTGGGAGATAGTAGGAGGGGCTAAGAGACAGAAGAACTGAATTAGCATTTGGACTGCATGTTGTGTCTTCTCTCTTCCACAGCAGAGTCAGAAGGAACTCTATCCATACTAGTCTTTAGAAGAATTACTTGTCTACCAACCACTGCTGTCTCTTTATCTTAGAGCCCCATTTGAATGCTTTACCATGAAGTCTCTGTATCCTCATTTTTATGTCTGTGAAAGCTCACATTAAAATATAGCAGTTTGTCTTTATGGTGCCATAACGTCTTTATCTTCTTCTTCTATTGTTTTGTTTTGTGTTTCTTGTGGATATGCAGACTGACATGGGTCCCACTTCAAAAAGCATAAGCGCACAGCAAACTAGCTAAAGGAGCTTCCCACCACCAAAACAACCACATTATTTGTCTTTCTAATGATTTGTCTTTCCACCTGAAGAGACCCAAGAGCACTTAGTTTCACAACAACATGGAAACAGTGTGTTCTCTGATCTCACCAAGAACTCGGAGCTCAGCTGCAGCAGTCACAAACTCTCTGGTTTGGGGCTTATTCGCCCGGCAAACATAGACTCCCGAATGATGAAGCTGGGCGTAAGGGATTAAGAGGTTGGTTCGTCCCACTACAATCACATCTGTAGAGATCGGATTCCCATCTGTGTAAAGGAAAATGAAAACATCAAATTCCAGGGTGCACTGTGAACACTGAAAACTGCATATTCTGAAGTAGAAGTTGGAAGTGCTACTTTTTTGTATTGCCATTCTCAAGATAGTGCACCTGGTGGACTGGTCATGCTGATGGAGAGATTTTAGAAATTGTACTCCACAAGGTAGCTTTTCTGAGGGTGCGACTACACTGCAATATACTCTAATTAGTCCAGGTTCATCAAGATACAAATCAATTCAGAATTTCCCAACACAACAGCACTGTAAATGTGGGAGGACCTTGTACTTTTCTTTGAGGAACAGTTTCTTTTTGAACACCTATCATGAGGTTGTTTACTTTAAACTGCTCTACAATGCATTCTTTTTTGCTCTTCTTTTGGTTGTGTGAGCAGCCATCTTGTTGTTTTCTGTGTGTGGAGGCATTCCTTGTGCTGACATCTTGGGGATGTGTTGGAGGTGGTGCAGGATGCTGACTCATGGGGAAATCAGGAATGATGCCTGCTGTCAAGCTGTTTCATTAAAAAAAATAACTTCCACTTAAAAAATTTGGAAAAAACATAAACTCCAGATAAGACGGTTATGGACAAGGACAGAATGCAGGCAGACTTGGGACAGACTAAAGTGCCAATCTGGGTCAATTTAAGGCAATTTAAAGAGTGATGTGCACCAAATCAATCCAATTCAATCAAGGCTGCCCCATGAAGACAGGAAGAGTACATGATATAAATCAATACAATGATACCCCGAGACAACTCTTGAATTTTTTAGGCAATGTAGTCACACCCTGAGATCTGCTTACAAGTGCTTTACACTGTCTGTATTTTACTCAGGACAGGAAGGGTGTAAAACCAACAAGAAGTCTTGCAAATGACCAATTTCTTTGGCACAAGTCATTATGGAGTTAAGTTCATGTAGAGTGCATATCATGGAGTGGACCACAGTCCACAAAGCAAACTGAACCTGCGAATCTTTCAGATGCCATGAGATTTCTGCTTTTCAGTATTTTAGCTGTTCCAGGCTCACTGCTTTACCACCCAGTTTTGATTCTGATAGACTGAAGAGCCACATAGGCACATAAATATCTTAATGTATAACTGATTTTACAGAGTAGTCAGTATAACACTGTACACGTATGTTCCTTATTTATCAACTTGTCTGTTGGTTCTAATCTGCTTTTCTCTGGGCGAGGGAGAATGAGGCAATAGGAAGAAGCAACTGTGCATCAAAATTAGTTTCTGCTCAACAGTGTCCCAGGTACTGTTTCCCCGAAAATAAAACATAGTCTTATATTAATTTTTGCTTCAAAAAACGCATTAGGGCTGATTTTCAGGGGATGTTTTATTTTCAAATACGCTCCTGTCATCTTCTTCTGGTTGCTGCACAAGGGTGGAGGGCAGGGCTTATTTTTGGAGTAGGACTTATATTATGAGCATCCTGAAAAATCATGCTAGGGTTTATTTTCAGGTTAGGTCTTATTTGAGGGGAAACAGGGTATTATAGGGCACAGCCTTTAGTGCCTAATTGATGCCCCGATTTTAGGACGGCTGGCTCTCAGCTTCTGTTTGTGGCCCATTTCCTTTCTGTCAAATGTGAGACTGCAGTTACTTTCACAGGCCTCCTTCATTCCAACAGGGAAAATGCCATGTTTCTTTCAAACAGACATATGCCCCTGCTCCCACTTTCCCTCCATCCCGTAAGAGCGACTCCAGTGATCTTCATCACATCTTATAATCCGAAAGATAACTCAAGAGTTATTTTTGCAAAGCACCGACAGATGCATCAGAATTCCCACCAGCTCTGCAAAACCCCTGACAAAAGGGGCCGCCAAAGGCCTGACCCGCACGCCCCGACCTTTAGAGCTGGGGCGTCATTCAATCTCAACCGGGACCAATTTAGATCAAAAGGCGTCCAGTAACTAGAATTTCATATCTTTTTGCAGATCAAACAACACAAATAAATTGCGTGCTTTGTATCACTTTCGCTTTAATTGGCAAGCTCCGCGCGGACGACACCTCCACTCAATGCAGGCTCAACTCCTACCGCCATGTTCAGTTGCAGTGTGCAAAGCCTCTGAAAACAAGTTCTTTTCTAAATGGGTTTTACAGCAAAAAGATCCGAGAGTTGCTTCCCGGCATCAAAAAGGCACTTCATTTACCCTCCCGTATCCACGAGACAAATGGTGCAGGACTGGCAGATGCCATGCACTCCATCACAGCACTCTCTCCAACCACCACCGTAGCGTTCTCTGGCGCAGCAACAATGGCCACCTCTCCTGTGGTTGTGGGCAGCATGGGACCTGGTGCAACGAATTTCAAATTTACTTTTCGGCCAACAAGAGACAGAGGAGGCAAAACGTTCTAAGTAGGCAATAATGATAATTTTTTTTAAAAAAGAGAGAGAGTCCTGTTTCTCCAGCATTGCCTTTGAATAATATGTGTAAGCACAGAAAGAGCTTGCATGTTGTTGTTGTTTCAACTTACTATATACTGTCCCATAGGTGCTAGCGTACTCTCTGGGTGGTTTACAACATAGTTATGCAAACAACATTTTCCCCGCCCCCCTGCTGTAATATGTGTAGTCACAGAAAGAGCTTGCATGTTGTTGTTGTTTCAACTTACTATATACTGTCCCATAGGTGCTAGCGTACTCTCTGGGTGGTTTACAACATAGTTATGCAAACAACATTTTCCCCGCCCCCCTCACAGTGAGCTGGGTACTCATTTTACCAGCCTCAGAAGGATGGAAGGCTGAATGAACCTTGAGCCAGCTACCTGATACTATCGGGATCAAACTCAGGCCATGAGCAGAGGCTTGACTGCAGTACTGCAGTTCAGCCACTGTGCCAAGGACTCTTGTTGAGTGTGAAAATCTTTTCCAGTCTCCTATGGGAATTCCATCACTGAGAAACAACCTTGTAGTTCAGGTAAGACTTTTGCTATAACTCAGGAAAATAGCTAGGATATGCTGTACAATTGGAACAGTCAGACATACTTTCGCAACCGTGGCTCCATCTGTAGAATCCTAGGACATGAAGTCTGAGGAGGTGCCTAGAATTTCTCAGTTCGAAAGTTCTAGTACTATATTTTAAGGAACTCTAGCAGAGAAGACTCCCTGGAAAAGACCCTGATGTTGGGGAAGTGTGAAGGCAAGAGGAGAAGGGGACGACAGAGGACGAGATGGATGGACAGTGTCATTGAAACTACCAACATGGATTTGACCCAACTCCGGGAGGCAATGGAAGACAGGAGGGCCTGGCGTGCTCTGGTCCATGGGGTCATGAAGAGTCGGACACGACTTAATAACTAAACAACAAAAGCAGAGAATCCTAAATCCTGTGTCAATCTGTACATGCTAGGATTCTGTAGGATGGAGCCATGACACTAGAGTGGTCCTCACACGACCAGATAGGCAGGATATAAAATAAATAAATAAATAAATAAATAGATAGATAGATAGATAGATAGATAGATAGATAGATAGATAGATAGATAGATAGATAGATAGATAGATAGATAGATAGATAGATAG